CTGATGGATTCCTTCACCAAGTAGTTGCTGAACCGACAAGAGGGGATGCCATTTTAGATTTGGTTTTGGTGAGCAGTGAGGACCTCATAGAAGAAATGGTTGTAGGGGACAACCTTGGTTCAACCAATCATGAGCTAATTCAGTTCAAACTAAATGGACGGATAAACAAAAATAGATCTGTGACTAGGGTTTTTGATTTCAAAAGGGCTAACTTTCAAAAATTAAGGAAATTAGTTAGGGAAGTGGATTGGACTGAAGAATTTATGGATCTAAAGGCAGAGGAGGCCTGGGATTACTTCAAGTCAAAGCTGCAGAAGCCTGCATCCCAAGAAAGGGGAAAAAATTCATAGGCAGGAGCTGTAGACCAAGCTGGATGAGCAAGCATCTCAGAGAGGTGATTAAGAAAAAGCAGAAAGCATTCAGGGAGTGGAAGATGGGAGGGATCAGCAAGGAAAGCTACCTTATTGAGGTCAGAACATGCAGGGATAAAGTGAGAAAGGCCAAAAGCCATGTAGAGTTGGATCTTGCAAAGGGAATTAAAACCAATAGTAAAAGGTTCTATAGCCATATAAATAAGAAGAAAACAAAGAAAGAAGAAGTGGGACCGCTAAACACTGAGGATGGAGTGGAGATTAAGGATAATCTAGGCATGGCCCAATATCTAAACAAATACTTTGCCTCAGTCTTTAATGAGGCTAATGAGGATCTTAGGGATAATGGTAGCATGACAAATGGGAATGAGGATATGGAGGTAGATATTACCACATCCAAGGTAGAGATCAAACTCGAACAGCTTAATGGGACTAAATCGGGGGGCCCGGGTAATCTTCCTCCAAGAATATTAAAGGAACTGGCACATGAAATTGCAAGCCCATTAGCAAGAATTTTTAATGAATCTGTAAACTCAGGGGTTGTACCATATGACTGGAGAATTGCTAACATAGTTCCTATTTTTAAGAAAGGTAAAAAAAAGTGATCCGGGTAACTACAGGCCTGTTAGTTTGACATCTGTAGTATGCAAGGTCTTGGAAAAAAATTTGAAGGAGAAAGTAGTTAAGGACATTGAGGTCAATGGTAATTGGTACAAAATACAACATGGCTTTACAAAAGGTAGATCATGTCAAACCAACCTGATCTCCTTCTTTGAGAAGGTAACAGATTTTTTAGACAAAGGGAACGCAGTGGATCTAATTTACCTCAATTTCAGTAAGGCATTTGATACGGTTCCACATGGAGAATTATTAGCTAAATTTGAAAAGATGGGGATCAATAGGAAAATTGAAAGGTGGATAAGGAACTGGTTAAAGGGGAGACTACAGCGGGTCACATTGAAAGATGAATTGTCAGGCTGGAAGAGGTTACCAATGGAGTTCCTCAGGGATCAGTTTTGGGACCAATCTTATTTAATCTTTTTATTACTGACCTTGGCACAAAAAGCAGGAATGTGCTAATAAAGTTTGCGGATGACACAAAGCTGGGAGGTATTGCCAATACCGAGAAGGACCGGGATATCATACAGGAAGATCTGGATGACCTTGTAAACTGGAGTAAAGTAATAGGATGAAATTTAATAGTGAAAAGTGCAAGGTCATGCATTTAGGGATTAATAACAAGAATTTCTGTTATAAACTGGGGACGCATCACTTGGAAGTAACAGAGGAGAAGAAGGACCTTGGGGTATTGGTTGATCACAAGATGACTATGAGCCGCCAATGTGATATGGCTGTGAAAAAAGCTAATGCGGTGTTGGGATGCATCAGGTGAGGTATTTCCAGTAGAGATAAGGAGGTGTTAGTACCGTTATACAAGGCAGTGGTGAGACCTCATCTGGAATATTGTGTGCAGTTCTGGTCTCCCAGTTTGAATTCATCCTTTTTAAACATGGAAGAGGCACAGAGAAGGGCTACTAGGATGATCCGAGGAATGGAAAACCTGTCTTATGAAAGGAGACTCAAAGAGCTTGTCTTGTTTAGCCTAACCAAAAGAAGGCTGAGAGGAGCTATGATTGCTGTCTATAAATATATCAGAGGGATAAATACCATGGAGGGAGAAGAATTATTTAAGCTCAGTACCAATGTGGACACAAGAACAAATGGATATAAACTGGCCATCTGGAAGTTTAGACTTGAAATTAGACAAAGGTTTCTAACCATCAGAGGAGTGAAGTTCTGGAACAGCCTTCCAAGCAAAGCAGTGGGGGCAAAAGACATATCTGGCTTCAAGACTAAGCTCGATAAGTTTATGGAGGAGATGATATGATGGGATAGCTTAATTTTGGCAATTAACTGATCTTCGACTATTAGCGGTAGATATGCCCAGTGGCCTGTGATGGGATGTTAGATGGGGTGGGATCTGAGTTACTACAGAGAATTCTTTCCTGGGTGTCAAAAAACCCCCACCAAATGTGGTGGCATTCATGGTAAAATCCAGCATTCTGGCAGCACTGCAAACTCTGCTCTCCACACTGAGCTGACCACATTATGGATGCTGACAATAGGCAAGTGGGGCAAAGACCCTCCATAAAAAAATAGGAAGGGAAAATAGAGTTTGCCAGAGGCAAATGTTGACCCAGGAGAGAAAGCAATGTTATTTTCCAGCTACTAAGCAAACACTGTACACTATATGGTACAGGGTCTCTTTGTTATACCTTTGCAGATGGGGCCTGATCTTGGATGGTAATACAAATAAATAACAAAAATTAACTGTACTCACCCCTAGAATAACTCCATTAGCATTGAGTTACCGTAGTGATGCATTTGGCCCACTGGACATAATACCTCTGGCCAGCCCCTCGCAATTAAAACCCATTAACAAGTCTTTGCTGGTCCCCCTTTTATTTGCAATGATCTGAGATCAGAAATACCCGTGTGTTGCAGGGCAGTCTCCTTTCCCAATTTACGGTGGTCCCACTTTGTGACCTGCAGGAAAGAGTTCACAGATTGGGTAAAATAATTTCAAAACTGTAAAAACAAACGCTCATTAGTTTCTTAAATCTAGACCTTGTGTCGAGAATTTGGGGAGATTGGATTTAAATCTATATCAACATTTAATTTCATATTCACAGCAGGGTGGGTGTTACAGACAGAAGAGTGAGTTAATCTGTGGCACCAAATTGAATCTGAAAGTAAAATGGTTTTTATTACCAGTAACTTCACAGCAGTGACTCAATTCAACTCTTTTCAAAAGCTGCTGCTCCTGCATTTTGCATTCAAATCCTGCAAAGCTCCAAGCAGAGGCGTTCGCTAGCTAAACAAAATATCATATCTCTGCAGATTCAGTGAATCAAATGTATAAATACTGTAGCTGTATTGTAGGTGTAGCGGTGCCAGGAACCGTGGTTAGGATTGTCTGAGCATTTCCTTTCTAAACCCCCATTTTTCCAGTAGCTCACAACTTAGCTTTCACCTTTGGGGCTTAAATTTTCCAGGACTTGGAATGTTTGAGCTAATGCTGCTCAGCCATTTTTGAGAATGAAGAAGGGGAGGGAGGGAAAAAACATGTTTCTGATTATTTTAAAAATATGTAGTATGGCTCTTTTTGAACGCCACTGATGCCAAAGTGTGGGTGGGGTGGGGAGTGAAAGCAGAAAGGGACGAGTTGGCAGGGAAATACCCCATAGGAGGAGAAGTGTCATTCAGTGTCCCAGTGGAAACCTGCTTAGGTATGGAGGGGTGCTGAGGATGTGAAAATCCTAACTGTGCTCACGCACTATTTAAACAGGAATCGTGTTTTTTAGCATCTTTGCAAAGAAAGACAATGACACTGCATGTGCCTGTGTAACTGACCTGGCCAGAAAATGTTGGGTTTTTTTTTCCCACCACAGATAATTTTGATTTTTTTATTTATTGTGCGTGTATTTATTTATTTCGTAAGAAAATTGAAAGCTCTGTGAACCAAAAAATTTTCAGCCGTTTTTGGCTAAACATTTTTTGCATTGCACTTTTTTGGGTGAAGACTTTCAGTCAGAAACTGTCAAAACCATTTAGGTTACAGCCAAACCTTTTGGTTTGGGGCCTTTTCAGATGAAAAATAGAAAGTTTTGAGGAAAGTAGGTGCTTTCTGCAATAAAATAGTGTTTAGATGAGAACCCAGTTTTCTATCGGGGGGGGGGGGGGAGTTTTGATGGATTTTTTTTACCAGCCTTACTCTATAACCGACACTGTTAGACTGTAGGGTTTTGTCCTCCCTAGCAGCTGGGCAAAGACCCACATTGTTGCTTTGGGTTACATATGTGCAGCTACTTTAGGATTGTAGTAAAAATGCAGTGCACCCTGCCTCATTCAAATGCTGGAGGAAACGGGTGAAAAAGTATAGTTATGGAACCCAGGCCTGCTTGGTGTGGCACTCTGTCCCCCTCTCGTGGCACCTAGACCAGCTAGACATTGATGAGCCTGCTACAGCCTTGGCTAAAAGACTTGTCTTTTAGCTCATGCAGTAGAGAGAGGCTCATGCATTAAGCTCCAGAAGTCCCAGGTTTGATACCAGCCGACGACAACTAGGGTCCGTTGGTGTTACAGTTATACATTATCCTCTACGTGGCTAACCCGTAATCCCATCCAAACTCTGCTGGAGGAGTGAGATTGGCTGAGAAAATACCATCAACTGGATAAAAAATGCAATATAGGGCCATCTCCGTTAAAGGCAATGGTGAAGAAACAACCCAGAAGAGTTTCAGAGGAACAGCCGTGTTAGTCTGTATTCGCAAAAAGAAAAGGAGTACTTGTGGCACCTTAGAGACTAACCAATTTATTTGAGCATGGGTCCCATTCTTTCTTTGGGGGTGGCTGTGGAGGGCTGGAATTGTGGGGCGGGTGGAAGCAATGGAAGGGCTACACATAAGGTTACCTGAACGGATTTAGCTTTGGAATGGTTTTAGAAGCAAAGGTCTCTCCCTCTCTCATCTCGTTCTGTCTCTGCTCCTTAGTCACTTCAGGGCATAGAACGTGCACCGCTATTTGGAACTAAATGCTTTTACCTTTCTTCGATTTCTCTGTCTAAAGGTGGGCCTTAATGTTCTGGTTCAGAGAGCAAACAAGTTTACCCCAGCCACCCGTCTCCTGATCCAGAGGTTTGTGCCATTCCCTGCTGTAGGTAAGAAATGATATACTTCTATACTCTCTGTGTGTGTGATATAGCCCTAAGTATGGATTTAATGCATTTGAGGCACACGGGTAGCTTCTGCCTTTGTGATTTATACTGTTGCTTGAATCCCAAGCTGGCAGCACTGCGAGATGTGCAATGAGTGGCTGAGATGTTGTTATCCTAAATAAAATATAGGATTGAAATTCACTGTTTCAGTGGGTATAACCTGTGTGGGCCACTCAGACTGTCAGAGAGAGGACTGGACAATGCAGAATGAGTTCTGACTCTTCTAATCTTCACCGTTTAGATGACCATTCATTCCTTGGGTAGTAACCATAGCCTGGGCTGAATAAATTCCTAGGTTTGGTGTTTATTGGCACAAGATTTCATTATATCCAAGTTAACAAGAAGTACTCACAAGAAGTTATTATCCTGAAATGTTTTAGTCAATATATTTGAGACATAACATAAACCATCAGCAGGATGAAACGGGCATATTTGTAGTCACACAGGAAGTGAGTTTTGAGGACCGTGGCTGGAGTGCAGGAATTTGCATGCTGTGCAATTATTGAAAGCAGTGACTGCGGTACCCCAGTACTCTGCTAGGCTAAGACCGGTGTATTCCAATATATAACGGAGTAGCTATTGGCCTCTCCCATTAGACACCAGTGTTCAGTATGAATGAAGGTAATAAGACCTTGGTCTTAACACAATAGCTACCTGCTTCTGGAGATCTAGGTTCAAACATGGTGTAGAGCCCAAGTGAAATGAGTTTGGTGGTCTTAACCCACTCGCTGGTGGTTTCAAAATGACGTTAAAATATCCACTACACAATGTGTCATTGTTCAACTTCTAGAGGCTCTGAATCAGAAGTGCTGGAACATTGGAGTTTAAGTCTGAGGTGCACTGACAAATATTATGTGAAGAGGCTATCTGGTTTGGTGACTGTCAGTGCCATCAGCTCCTTGCTTTTGAGGACACTAAAATTAACTCCAAAAGCAGATAGGGAAAAAATGTGTGAATGCAAGGACTAATATAGTCTGTTTGCAACATGATCTGGTTATTGTAAATTCAGTAAAAGGGGCTGCTGCACATAATCCCAGGCTGCAAAATTTGCAGATTTACAAATGTATTTAAGCACCTAAAGATGCAGATAGCCGCCATGGGATGTACAAAAGCACCTGAGCAGATTAGGGACCTAACGCCACTGAAAGTCAATGAGACTTAGACACCTTCACTTAGGGACTCAGTGGGTCAATAAAAGGTTAAATTGTTGGGTTTTTTTTAGCTATTTGAAGAACGACTAATATCACAGATATGGGGTTGTTCTGTTTGGTTCCACTGGAGAGAGAGGTCAGCCAGCCATAGCCCATAAAATCCAGCATAACCTCTGGAGTGAGGGGGAGGTGGTGAGGTGTTCTGGTTTATGCATGTGACTAGAAGCCAGGAGCTCTGAAATTAGAATCCTGGCTCTGACCGATTCCCTGTGTGATATTGGGCAAATCACTTACAGACTAATTTTCAAGTGGCCTCTACTTTTGGATGTCTATTGTTTTGCATACCCCACTTGCGCCTGCTTTTCAGAGGTGCTGCAGCTCCCCCTGAGCATCTGCAGCTCCCCCTGACTCCAGCTGGAGTTGAGAGTGATCTGTGCTTCTGAAAGTCAGGCCCCAGGTGTCTTGAGCTGTGTGCACAAAAAGTCAGGCCCCCAAAATCCAGGGCTAGTTTTGGAAATGATGTCCTTTACCTTTCTGGGCCTTAGCTTCCTAGTCTGTAAAACGGGAATATAGCAAGTAAACTCTTTAGGGCAGGGACGCTGTCAATTTGGTCTGTGAGGTGCCTCGCACACTTTCTTTGCTGCAAAAAATAATAAATAATAAGTATATTTACCTCCCTCCCAAGGGTATTCTGAAGATTAATGTTCATAGTGCACTTTAAACCTGAAAAGCTCTCTGTAAACTGTTACAAAGGACACAAGTTCTTGTTTTTCTCCATATAGACGGAATAGCCAAACTTACCAACCCTCTGAGCTGCATACGATAATCTTCAGAAGCCAGAGAGTTGCCAGACATGCACAACCTTCACACACGCATTTTTTAAAATATTAACATCCTACTTACTGTATCACAGCTAATTAGTGCTAGAGCTGGAGGCCTTGTGGGTTTCCATCCTAGTTGTAAGTCTTTGGAAAACCAGTTGATATGTTGTCAAGGTGGCATGGAGGGGCTTGGGGCTTCTCCCCTGTAGCGGGGTGGTGGGGTTAGGGGTTTCTGCCCTGTGGGGATGGGGGGTCTTGAGGCTTCAGCCCGCTGGGGCGCATCTGTCAGGGCTTGGGGCTGAAGCGCCATTCCTGGCGCGCCTTGCAGGACTGAAGCCCGGAGCCCCACCACCCTGCCACAGGGCAGAAGCCCCGAGCTCCCCCACTAAGTCTGGTAAGCGGAAAATGTGGGGGGAGGGCCATGTAGGGGGCTCTGCGAGCTGCACTTTACCTCTAAAAGAGCCGCATGCGGTTTGCAAGCTGTGGTGTGGCCATCCCTGCCATATGGGCTGCTGCTGCTGCTTCTCTCTCTCTCTCTCTCTCTCTCTCTTTTTTAAATAATTTTTCCCTTTTCATCCATGGCAAGGGTGACTAATTTTAGACCCTCAAAAGTGAAAACAGTTATGGATGTCTTCATTGGTGGGGTTTTTTAACTGATTGTCTGTCTTACTGAGTGATAGGAATGATGCATATGGGGGTGGTGTGTATCTGCCATAAACATTTTAACTGTTTATCAAATCCCTCATCATGCATCATTACTTAAGCAGCCTTCAGAAAGCCATTTGTAAGGTATCCCCCTCAGCCGTCTCTCCACTCTAATCTAAGCTAGTTTGTCTAGGAATTTGTGCTACAGCGAGTGTTTGCGCACCTCACTAACACTGAAAGGAGTACACCACATTCTTTGTACCTCTCCAAGGAGAGTTTCATGGCTTTGATGTATTGAAGTTTGTTGTTTGGAGAAGTGGGTTCTGCAGTTCGTTATGGAGGCTCTGAGATTCGTGGTCATTGTGATCGTTCCTGGAAACAGGTCCCACAGCTGTGGGCCCGCTGAAGAGAAAGCTGCTGTTCACCAGTCTTGCTCTTGGGTGAACTGGGAATCAACTAATGAGCAGTAACACCCTTTGTAGACAAGTCTCCTGAAGCTGACAGTGTAATTATTCCAGTGGAACTTAGCTGTCATAAGAGGTTGTGATATTGGAGAGTAAGATACTCCATCAGGTGGGTTTCACCAATCCTGTGGAAGGCATTGGAAGTAAAGACCATGAATATTAGTCTTTAAACATCCACATGTTAAGGACTCAATCCTGTGAGACAGTGAGCTCCCTCCATGAGGTGCTGGGGGTCATCATCTTCTGCTGGAAGTTAATGGGAGTTCATCACTCAGCACCTTGCAGAATCAGGCCCAGTGTAACTATTCTGCTTTAATTACAATTACACCCTCTTTACAGCTCCTTTATACTGCCAGAGAGTCAGGTCCTCTGAGTGGTGCACAGGCTAGGGGCTGACCCTCTGCATAGGAATAAATTTCACCCTGGAGACTAGAGCTGAGCAAATTATTCTGAACCTGAAAAGGTTCAGAAAAGGGCAACTAAAATGATTAGGGGGTTGGAACGGGTCCCATATGAGGAGAGATTAAAGAAGCTAGGACTTTTCAGCTTGGAAAAGAGGAGACTAAGAGGGGATATGATAGAGGTATATAAAATCATGAGTGGTGTGGAGAAAGTGAATAAGGAAAAGTTATTTACTTGTTCCCATATTATAAGAACTAGGGGCCACCAAATGAAATTAACGGGCATCTGGTTTAAAACAAATAAAAGGAAGTTCTTCTTCTTCACTCAGCGCACAGTCAACCTGTGGAACTCCTTGTCTGAGGAGGTTGTGAAGGCTAGGACTATAACAGGGTTTAAAAGAGAACTAGATAAATTCATGGAGGTTAAGTCCATTAATGGCTACTAGCCAGGATGGGCAAGGAATGGTGTCCCTAGCCTCTATTTGTCACAGGGTGGAGATGGATGGCAGGAGAGAGATCACTTGATCATTACCTGTGAGGTTCACTCCCTCTGGGGCACCTGGCATTGGCCACTGGCGGTAGACAGGCTACTGGGCTGGTTGGACCTTTGGTCTGACCCAGTATGGCCATTCTTATGTTCTTATTCTTTATAAAGTATCTGATGGTTTTTGTATGTTACTCAAATTGTTTTAGAGACACAAGGTGGGTGAGGTAATATCTTTTATTGGCCCAACTTCTGTTGTTGAGAGACGAGCTTTCGAGCTACACAGAGCTGCTCTTCAGGTCTGGGAAAGGTACTCCGAGTGTCACAGCTAAATGCAAGGTGGAACAGATTGCTTAGCATAAGAAGTTAGCACATATTCTGGATTATTCAAAGTGAAGTGCCCCATCAACACCTCAGAGGACAAAAAGGGTTGTTAGTGGGTTACACGTTGTTGTAATAAATCCAGTATCTCTTTTCGGGTCATGATTTTTAGTGTTTGGCAAAGTTATGAATTTAAGCTCCCAGGCTTGTCTTTTGAAGACATTGTGCAGGTTTCTTCTGAGGCTGAGGACTGAGAGACCAGATATGGAGTGATTGCTTTGTGAAAAATTTCCACCCACGGGTGACAGTGTTTTTGCCTTTTATCATTTTCCTGTGTGAATTCATTTGAGACTCTCCAATTTCACCCACATAGTTGTTATTGGGGCATTTAGTGCACTGAATGAGGTACGCCACATGTTGGGATAGGCATGTGTAGGAGCCATGGATCTTGAAAGGTGTGGGGTGTTGGTCATTGTAGCAGTGGAGATATGTCTGCAGGTTTTGCATCTGTTGTTCTGGCAGGATCTGGTGCTGCTTTGATTTGGTGTGTCCTCATCTGTGGGGAGCTTGCTTCTGATGATGAGCTTGGAGAGGTTGGGGGATTGTTTGAAGGTCCAATAAAATATATTCCCTCTCCCACCTTGTCTCTCTAATAT